GAATGTTTCTGCTCTTACAGAGACCTGGGATTCAGGTCCCAGAACCCACATCAGCACCCACAGGAGATAGGATGCCCCTTGTAGGCACTTGTACACAACTGTACACACACACACACACACACACACACACACACACACACACTCACAAATAAGATCTGTTTGTTTTAAAATGGACAAATAAGCCATATCCTCACTGTGGATCATTCACTATGCCTTCTCTTAGAAGAGTCACATCATCTGGGGCAGACCACAGCCTATAAGCCCATATATACATGAGCTCTTATATATATATTAGTAAAACTAGAGATATTTCAGTACCACACAGACAGCTGCCATCAGGTCCCACGAGGCACCAGAACATAAGACCACATGACGCTGCTGATTTATGTGTTTACCACGAAAAACTAAACCAGTGTTTTGAGAGTCAGCTCTCTCTTTCCACCAGTGGCCCATGGGTCGAAATCAGGTCACGAATGCTACACGGAACGTAACAGGAACAGGGCGAAGGTTTAGCTAGCACATTAGAACGTAACAGGAACAGGGCGAAGGTTTAGCTAATACATTAGAGGACAAGTTGATACGAAGCCTGAAGCACACACACTCTGAAGAACAAAGACGAATGCTGAAGTGTGGTCACCACATGATGTAAAAACCAGCTACTGGGCGTCCCCCAGGGTAGGGAGAAAAGACCTTTTGGGTAGTTTCCTCATTCAGATAATTTGCACCTCTGCCAGGCAAAACTAACTGACAATTTACCAATCTATAATTAGATTTCTAACTTTTTGGAGTTATGGCTCTAATACATATTAAATCAAAAAGTAGCTAGTAGTGTCTGATGAGCTTACATAGTTATCTTTCTGTTCCTATTCCTATAATTCACGGTCTTAAAAGCTTTACTCACAGAGAGAGATCCTTCCCTTTGTTTTCTGCAAGAAGATATTGATGAGTCTGGGGGCAGAACAGAGAGAACGTCTATCTTTCCAATGTCCAGGATTCTAAAATGACAGCCATGACCTTAAAGCGCTCTGAGAGCCTGCACGATGGCCCAGTGGGTAAAGGCACTTGCTTCCAAGCCTGATGATCTGAGTTCAGTTCCCAAGACCCACATGGGGGAAGGAGAGAGCCAACCTTCATGAGTTGTCCTCTGACCCTCCTCCTGTGCAGTGTGGCACGTATATCCCCATACATATAAAACAAACACACACACATACACACCTAAATTAATAATATAATATTTTTGAAAGCTGTTTTAAAAAGCCTTGGTATCTACTTCTAATTGCCAGAAAGAGTAGCACCATTTTCATGACTGAACAAGAATAGGGGGGTAATTGTGCTCACTGGCATTTAGATGCTCTCCTGTGTGACTCTGGGATTTGTTTATGTGGGTTAGATAGTCAGTGCATACAAAGCTCAAATGGAGAACTTGAACTCCCCCACATTCTCACATCCTGCTATGTTAACTCTCTCCACTGCTTGAAAATACGTAGGACCTGCTATCTAAGCCTGATAGACCCCAGGATTGACTTTTCTGAATTACTGTTTAATTAAAGCATTTGTTTGGGGGTACCCAGAGCCCCTAAATACACCAGGGGAGCTCCTGTGTTGATAAACTGAAATGAGCTCTTACCAGCTGCTAAAAAGGATTTATCTCTTCACTAAGATGGAAAGTACCTACCGACATGGTCCACTGGTGGCCGGGAGGTGGTAATGGACTTGGAAAGATGTCCAGACTGATGTGAATTACAGCAGCCACTCAGTGCCCAAGGCAACACTGGAGGTGAATCAGTTACCTGGATCTGCCTAGGAGCCACGAGGGGAGAACGGGCAGTGGGCCAGGTGGCCCCGTGCTGCTGTGTTGCAGGGTCAGAAGAGGACCCGGTGGAGCAAAGGCCTGCTGGGAGGCTCCGGCATCCAGATGTGCACTGTCCTGGTAGCTCTGTGATATACACTGATGCAACAGACACTAGCATTTCAAGGCTGTCATTATAAAACAAAGTCTCTGATGTCATTCTTATGTGGTCTGGCCAGGACGTCACTTAGCTAGACAACTACAGCATCAGTGATGATTGCTCCAGAAATTTGGTTTTTTGTTTGTTTGACAGCAGTTTGTGAAAACCCAGCAAAGACTTGAAAAGAGCTATAGTATGTTGGCAAATCATTTACTCTGCAGTTCATCGTGTGTGTGTGTGTGTGTGTGTGTGTGTGTGTGTGTGTGTGTGTGTGTGTGTATGTAATGGTGTAGCTGACTTAGTCAATGAAAGAAGTGTTACATATCTTTTAGGTAAATGTTTTAGGTTTATCACATTACACATTAACATTTTATCTGGCCATTTTAAAATATTTTTATTTTGGATATGGCTTTTCTTACTATAAAAATTGAAATTATTAGCCGGGCATTGGTGGCGCACGCCTTTAATCCCAGCACTTGGGAGGCAGAGGCAGGCGGATCTCTGTGAGTTCGAGGCCAGCCTGGTCTACAAAGTGAGTTCCAGGACAGCCTCCAAAGCCACAGAGAAACCCTGTCTCGAAAAACCAAAAAAAAAAAAAAAAAAGAAATTATTTTAGCCAAACCATTGAAACTAAAAAAAAAACGATATTGACTATATAAAAGATAGTCTTATGTCCAGAGAGGTGAGATGGCTCCAAGCCCAGGTACCTTAGGCTCAGCCTCCAGAATCCGTGTGGTCGAAGGAAAGAACAGCTACCACAGGCTGTCCTCGTGTCTGCGTGTGCACACTCATGCTAACTCAATGAACGTGTTCTAAAGACGTGCACACACTCATGCTAACTCAATGAACGTGTTCTAAAGACGTGCACACACACATGCTAACTCAATGAACGTGTTCTAAAAAGACTCATTGTCTAAATTTACAGAAAGGGTTCATTCAGACTTAGAAGGATGGCAGCTGCGTCTAATACATGCACAGCTAAAATTGAATAGTAGTTTGTAAAGAAGCACTGGCAGGCATAGGAAAAGTTCCTGAGGGAAGGGACAGTGGCTGACCTGGGCCTGGCCTCCATGCCTACCTGGGAGTGGCTTTGGCTAAATGAGAAAATGAGTCAACACATGACCAGTAACTAGGTAAGTGCCAATTAAAGCAATAATGAAATATAATTTCATACCTATTAATTCGGTGAAATGAAAGAAATAAAATCCATGCTGAAGGACCTTCGGGAAAACACAATCCCATTGAGGGGACCCAGCCATGTGTTACCTCGGATGGCTCACTTTCTTCAGCCCCCTTTGAAGAATTGCCATCAGGAACCAATGATGAAGATATTGTTGTTTGTAGTAGAACTGTTAACACTGAAACAAGACACGAGCTGCACAGAGCCAGCTACTCCATGGAATGATATGCAGCCCTCTGAAATAATGGACTTGGATATAACCATGTCAGAACCAGCAAGCACAGTGTGGCTGGAGAGAGGGCTCAGTGGGTGAGGCACTTGTGCAAGTCTCAGGACCTAAACCTAGACTCCCAGCTCCCACATAAAAAGCCAGGCCTAGTGGCAAACACCTGTAATCCCAATACCAGGGATGCAGAAACAGGAGGATCCTTGGGGCTTGCTGGCCAGCCAATTTAGCCTTATTAATGAACTCCAACTTCAGTGTGAGACCCTGTCTCAAAAAATGAGGTGGGTGTGCTCATTAGTTTTTTGTCAACTTGATACAAATTAGGGTCTTCTGGGGGAGAAATCTTAACTGAGCAGATGCCTCCAGCTGTAATTCTGTGGGACATTTTCTTGATTACTGTAGGAAGGCCCAGCCTACTGTGGGTGGTGCCACCCCAGGCAGGTGACCCTGGATCATATAAAAAAGAAAACTGACAAGCATTGGGGATCAAGGCAGTAAGCAGTGATTTTTCACGGTCTTGGCTTCAGTTCCTGCCTCCAGACCCCTGCCCTGCTTGAGTTCCTGCCCTGACTTCCTTTCATGATGGACTGAAGCTATCAGATGGCATAAACCCTTTCCTCCCCAAGATGGTTTTGGTCAGTGTTTGGTCACAGCAACAGAAGCAAACGAGGACACAGAAGACACACAGGACAGCTCAGTGGGTAAAGGCACTTGCCAACCTTGAGGACCTGAGTTTGATCCCTGGGTCCTACATGGTCATGCTCTATGGAGAATCAAGATTTTCCGTCTTTTGGGAAGGTTTTCCGGTCACTTGTTCAGATCCCTTTTCTCTGACAGATTGTGATTTGAGAATCACGGATCTGTACCATAAATCCTGAGATGATGCCATCCTCTTTGGTGAACCTATGCAGCTCTTTTTCTTACGTCCCCACAAGGTTAGATAGTGATAACTGCTCTCAAGTCTGTGCTTTGAGAATAACCCAAGTAGGGACATAGTAGCTTCCATCCAAATCCTAATCAAAGAACTTATGCTGAGAAGAGACCACGCTGTCTCTTAGCTCTGGCCTCCCTGTGTCTTCTTAGTTGGCTTAGTGTGTGTCACTTAAATGTCTTGCTTTATGAGGAGGAGGTTGATTGGCTTGTACTCTGTGCTGTCTGAATTGATGGCCCTCTGCTTCTCTGCCTCTGAGTCATCCTCTTACCCAGGAACTAGAAAGAGTGGGTTCCCGTGGAGTTCTGAATGAGAATGGTCCCCATAGGCTGATGTATTGAATACTTGGTTCCTAACTGATGGAACTGTTTGGGAAGGAGTAGGAGGTGTGGCCTCATTGGAGGAGGTGTGTGACTGGGGGTGGACTTTGAAGTTTCAAAAGCCCATGCTGGTCCCAGTATCTTTTTCTTTGCCTAGTGGTTGTGTCTCAAGATGTGAGGTCTCAGCTACTGCTCTAGTGCCTGCCTGCCTGCTGTCACATTTCCTGCCATGACGGTCATGGCCTGTAATCCATGGGACTATAAGTCCCAAATAAATGCTTTCTCTGTGACTTTCCTTGATCATAGTTCTTATCATAGTAATGGAAAAGTAACTAAGACAGTTTCAAATAACTACTTACATTTTGCTGTGGTCCCAGCCCTTAAAAACCCTAGGCTTGCTTCTCAGACATTGGGGAGTCAGTAGTATTTTATTTGAAAGAGTTTTGTTTGTAGAAGTTTTAATTTTTCTTTGAGGCAGCTGTGGCTTTTGGTTTGGGGGAAGGTTTTGTGCTTTCTGGTTATTTCCCACATCAGTGAAATCTAAAGTCAACAACTTTACAATAACTAGTAGTTACTGTGGCTAAAACTGCAGTTCAGTTTCCATCCAGACACTTCTACCTGATTCAGCTGAACTGTTCCTGAATACAACTTGGGTGAAAAGGAAAACGTAGTATCCCATAGTGGCCCATGAATGCATTTGACTCTGACCTTTTGCAAAGTATACTTTTAGGGGTTATAGTATAAGTACATCCTTCCTCTTTTCCTTTTCCACCTCCAACTCCTTCCATGTTCCCTACCCTGCTGTCTTTCAAATTCATGGCCTTTTACTTGTTTTTTACACGTGTGTGCATTCCTAACTTTATAAATGCAGCCTGCTCAATCCATAATGTTACTTCTCAGTATGTTAACTCTTACCTTCTTATGCGTCAGTTAAAAACAAACATTCCTATGGAGCAGCTGGATGCCTTCACTTCTTCAGTTTCAATGCTGGGTAGGTTCATAAAGAATGGGATGGGTAGGTTCATAAAGAATGGGATCCAATATGCCACGGGGGTTAGATCTGCCATGCAACTGGGAAGGCTTTCCTTGGCAGGATGCCATTGCAACAGACACCCGAGACCAACATCAGTTCCCTTCATGGCTTGAAGCCAGCGAGTTCTGAGATGATTATTGCTGTCGTATTATGTCATGGAAATGGTTAGAATCCAGGCTTTCCAGATGAGGCAAGGGTTTCTGCTTCTTTCCCATCACTTGACTCTCAAGACCCTCCTTCTTGGCCTTCCTGTTTTGATATTACTCTTCTGTATTATTTTTTGACCTACTAGGAGTTAGGACATTATAGGCTATTTTCTGTTTCAGGCTCAATTATGTGTGAGTTTACTTGTCACTTACAACAGGTTCTCTAAATGTAAGTTACTGGCTAAGTCATTACTTGGTTTAATCAGTATCCTGCATTTTCCTGTCAGGGGATGGTTACATGGGGTAGGACTGCCTTTTCAGTCTTGCTGTAGGAGGATACTTAATCCACCTGTAATATCACCAGAACAGTAGCTCCCCAACATTTCAAATTGGAAATGTCTTCCTCTCTCCACACAACTTCTCAAATCTCAGTGTAATAACTGGCAGGGGGTGAGCTTTCGTGTGTGCACTTGTGTACGTGTGTGGAGGCCAGAAGCAGATAGCCGGTGTCTTTCTTAGTCACTGTCCCTCTGTCCCTGAGCCTGGAGCTGGCCAATTCAGCTAGACCAACTGGTCAGCAGGCCCCAGGGGCCCTCCTGTCGTGACCCCAGGAGCAGGCTCCTCCTTCCTTCCTTCCTCCCTCCTTCCCTTCCCTTCCTTCCTTCCTTCCTTCTTTCCCTCCTTCCTTCCTTCTTAAAATGTGGATACTGGGGATAGAACTGGGTGACAAGCACTTGCCTGGATGACCATCTCCCCAGCTGCTGGAGTTGAACTTTTAACATCTGTGGTTTGGGAAACTGTTGAAAAGTGTTAAGTGAATTTGCACTCAGGCTATCACACATCCATGAAAACAGAGCCTGTATGTACAGAATGTGTTTTGCTCACAGCCCCCGGGAGAATCCTTCACAGAGACTCGAGGCCCGCATTCCTAAGCCAGGCTGGAGGCACAGGTACAGCAGCTCCTGGGTTGTATGCCAGCTGGAAACTGCTGCCAGGTCTTGACCCCTGTGGAAGAGCCTGGCTCTCTGGCTCTCTGCTTCCGCTGCATGCTTCTCTGACCTCTCATTGATTCTAGAGGTTCTGATTCACACTCACCAGTCCCCATTGTTGGACAGTTGAGTTTCTCCCTCCACCTGTTTGAAAGCACAAGTTTTGTTTATACTTGTAACTTCACATGTGCTATAAGAATTTTCAGGGTAAATAATTTTCAGAGGGTGAGTTTTGGAGGGAACAGATACGTACTTTACAATGTTGCTAGATATTTCCGCGTTATCAGATAAAAAGCTCTGAACCCAGTTACATCTCGCCAGTAGTGACAAAAGGACCAGCAATATACAACTTCTGAAGTCAGCCTTACTTTGGTGCACCCTGCTGTGGCTTCAAGGAAGGCTTGGTGTACTTGGCAGAAGAACTCAGGAAAGGGAAGAGAAGGGAGAGCCGCAAACCCTGTGAGCACAAGGTTTCTGTGGAGTTGGCTGCTGGACTGCGGTACCCCCACCGAGGGCTGCACGACTTCCTGAGCCCTCCTCAGGCTTCTCGGCCTTGAGCACGGACACTGGAGCTGCTCACCCGGCTTCACTCTGAATGAGCCCACTCTGGTGGTGTCAGGCACGGCTCTGTCCACTGAAGCCAGAAGTGATGGGAAACGAAGGCAGTGGTTGACGCTGGCCAGGCTGCCTCCCTCTGCTCTTCCCAGCAGCCCGCCATCTTGAATATATCACACTACTGTGGCCAATGCCTCAGACTCAGGAGCCTGTAAACAACACACAGATCATCAGAGAAAAGGAATGAGAGCCAGAAAGTCACCAAGCAAGGAGACTGCTTCCCAGTTCTTGAAGAAACCAACTACGGCAATGAAATGCATTCACTCATTGGATTACAGGATGTGATGACAACAGCTTCCGTTCATCCACCCATTCACGGATTCAACTGCAGGAGAGTTCTACTGAGTGCCAGAAGTAGATGAGACCGTGAGTATGAGTGACAGCAGACATGGACATGGACCTTCCTTCCAGTGTGGAAGTCAAATAGTCACAGGTCGGTATCTGCAAACTCTGTCTGAGAAATGAGTAGTATCTCAGGAATCCCAGCAGGGCAAGTCTAAAGGAAGAGTTTGAGGCAGAAAGAAAGCTGGGAGGATTGCTCAAGTCACAAAGGCATGCAAAGGCCCTGAGGTCGGAAATAGCTGCGCTGTGAGAGAAGCCAGATACCTGGGGATGAGGTGGCCATACAGAACCCATGCTGGACGTGGTGTTTTCAGAAAAAACAGACTCAAGGAATGGGCCTATACAGGGAGGCTCAGGAGGGGACGGAAGTGGCGTTTGCCACTGGACCGGTAGGTGACACGTCAGCTAGATGTCTGTTAGTCCCGCACCTCCTGGTCCTCACAGTCTGCCTGGGATTTGTGTGAGCAGAGTGCCTCGTGCTGACCCTCGCTGCGTGCGGCAAGCACCCTCGCCAGGGCCTTGCTTTGAATTCACTTTGCCTTTCTGCCAGCTGGGAGCATTCCAACAAAAGTTCACGCTATGACTTGAATTCCAAGAGGCCCTGGAACATTCAAGAAGACTTAATCCATCTGCAGGTCACCCTCAGGTGTTCGCAGCTGTAATAAGCCCGTGGCTGCGGGCCTCTGCAGCAGCCCGTAATTGACACGATATGGGTAACATGGGATTTGCTGCCGTAGTGTCCAGAACAACCTGCTTTGCCTTTAGCTGAGATGCATCGCTACGATTCTTCAGTCTGGAACCATTGTTTAACAAAGGGCCGATCTCTAACACATCTGTCTGTCCAGCCGCTGGTTTACTCTTGGCGCTACTTTGGGGTGGGAATCGATGTGGCTGGGGCCTTGGGAACCGGGTCAGGGTCTGGTGGTGACGCTCAACCATCTGGTAGCTTAGGGCTGTAAATCAAAGATCACTCCATGAGGACTAGGGCTGGCTTTATAAAAACTGAGTGTATGTGTGTGCACGGGCCAGGTGAAGAAGGAACTTCTCATGGGGCGTGGCGGGTTGTGCTTATCCGTGTCCCGGAGATGAACATGGTATTCTCATGGGTAGGCTTGGGATGCCAAAAGAAATGAGTGGCCAGGAATGTGGTTCAGATCCAGAGTTCAAATCTAGACACTACCACTCTTTAACTGGGAAGTCTCAAGAGCTTAACGAATTTACCTGAGCCTCATCCCCCTCCTCTGTAGGATGGCCATACCGAGAGGTGTTCTTCACAGGTTCTGGGTTAGGCTTAACGCAGTGGAGCCACCGAAAGTCCATTATATTTAGAGGGTGTTTCCCCCTTAGGAAATGGAAAAGAAAGCCGATAACACACTCAGCACAATTGAATCCTCACAGGATCCTAGGAGGTGTGTGTTGTTACCACCACCCCATTTCCCAGATCACAAAACTGAGGCGCAGAGGCAGTACCACTTTCCACAAATCACATCTCTAGTAAGTGGAGTGGAGGCCTGGATTCCGAGCAGTAGGACTTAGTAGCTCTTAACTGCCCCGCTACTCTCCCCCCAGCCACAGAAAAGCTTTTGTTGTCACCAAGGACTAGGAGGAACCTAGGCAGGAATGTAAGAGGCAAACATGCGGAGAGAAATCAGCGAGCCACGTGTGTAGCTGGGGTGACAGCAGGTGCGTCTACTCCCTCTATCCCGCCACACCCCGAGGCAAACATGCAGAGAGAATAGCCCATCAGCGAGCCACGTGTGTAGCGGCCGCTCGGGTGGCAGCAGGTGCGTCTACCCCAGCAGGCGTTATCAGTGAGTGTGAGCCGCTGCCCCTTGCTGTTCCCCACCTTCCCCCCACCCCCAGGAGCGTGAAGAGTTAAAGCCAGCCAGGTAGCTAAGTCAGGAGGTGTCCAGTCCCTGTGCCCGGTGGGGCGAGAAGAAAGTGTTGTCACACCCTATTACCGGAGGCAGGATTGGAGGCCTCCCCACCCTTTGCCCTACCCACAATCCTTCATTCCAGTCAGCCACCTGACAAGGCTCCAGCACTCACTCCAGTGCGCTCCCTAGTCCTGACAACGCCCCAGCCCTCCTTGTTCATGCTTGGGTGGCAGGGGCTGTGGTGCTCTCTCTGCAGCTTCCCTGGCGTGTGGAGGCTGCCATGGTCTCTGTCGTCCTCGCCCTCTCTCCGCCTCCCTCCCTCCCTCCCTCCCTCCCTCCCTCCCTCCCTCCCTCCCTCCCTCCCTCTCTCTCTCTCTCTCTCTCTCTCTCTCTCTCTCTCTCTCTCTCTCTCTCTCTCTCTCTCTCGGTGCCTGGTGCCACTTGCAGGGCAGAAAGAAGCTCTCCTCCTGGCCTCCTGGTTGTGTCCTGTCTGCTTTCATTACTCCTGGGCTCCTTCAGAGCATCTGAAGTTCCTCAGGGGTGAGATTCCCCAAACAGAACTGCATGATTGATCCAATCTGACTTGCCAGAGCCAGAGCGTCCATCTGGACTCCCCAACCTAGATTTTCTTTCTCCCGAGCTATCCGTGAGTCTAATAAGGGGCCAGAGGCCCGCCCAAGGGAGCAGGATCCGCGGGCAGCTTCACGAACGTGTTCCTTCAGGAGTATGCGGCCGTGCACCCAGGGTTCCTGCAGCCACAGGGAGGTTCATGGGTTCTGTTTCCTTGTTTGCCTCCCTGACACCCTTCGGTTCTTTAACGCAGGATCTCAGAGAACCCAGGCGGGCGGATGTCAAACTTGCCTCGTGGCTGAGGGTGCACTTCCCCATCTTTCTGACTCTGCCTCCTCAGCAGAGGGTTACAGGCGCGCACCACTTCGCCTTCGCCGGCCTGCTTTGTTTATATTTTTAATTTACTTTTTTTTTTTTTTTTTTGGTTTTTCGAGACATGGTTTCTCTGTGGCTTTGGAGGCTGTCCTGGAACTCGCTCTGTAGACCAGGCTGGCCTCGAACTCACAGAGATCCGCCTGCCTCTGCCTCCTGAGTGCTGGGATTAAAGGCGTGCGCCACCAACGCCCGGCTTTTAATTCACTTTTGCAGATGTTTCTTAGGTGTACTTAGGCTACAGTCAGCTTCTAACTTTGGAGAGTGCAGTAGTCCAGTTTGGGCTCGCGGGTATGTCTGTCTCCGTCTTCGTTTTCTCGTGGTGTTGGGAATGGGACCCTGGGCCTGACACAAACTAGGCAGGGTTCTGCCCACCGAGTTACAGCCCCACCCCTGCCACCAGTTTAACACAGTGGGAGGTGCCTGGGTAAGTGGGTGAGTCGGAGCAGGGCTGGGTGGGAGACACGGCCAGCTTCGGCCCCGCCCATCGAACCGCCATCTTCGGCCACACCCTCAGGGCCCTGACCGCCATCTTCGGCCACACCCCCAGGGCCCTGACCGCCATCTTCGGCCACACCCCCAGGGCCCTGACCGCCATCTTCGGCCACACCCCCAGGGCCCTGACCGCCATCTTCGGCCACACCCTCAGGGCCCTGACCGCCATCTTCGGCCACACCCCCAGGGCCCTGACCGCCATCTTCGGCCACACCCCCAGGGCCCTGACCGCCATCTTCGGCCACACCCTCAGGGCCCTGACCGCCATCTTCTGCCACACCCCCAGGGCCCTGACCGCCATCTTCGGCCACACCCCCAGGGCCCTGACCGCCATCTTCGGCCACACCCTCAGGGCCCTGACCGCCATCTTCCGCCACACCCCCAGGGCCCTGACCGCCATCTTCCGCCACACCCTCAGCCCTGCTCCTGCCTTCACCTCCCTCTCTGAATCCTCCCGAGGGACTCCAGGGTGCCTGGGGCACACGAGAGATCTGTCGTTTCTGCGCTTCGGCGTTATGTCCCAAGTAACAGCATCTGATGGCAGAGTGATGCCAGTGTTTCTGTCGTAGTTGTTGTTTCGAACCTACTTAAAGCTTTAAAGAGACCACAGGCGCGCGATAGTCCAGGTGCGGCTCTCTAATTCATTCATTCACTTGTACGTGAAATGCTAATTACCGCGGGCTGGGGAGGGCCGCAGCCGCCTTACTCCCGTGGGTGTGGGAACGGTCTTTGCCCCTGACGCGTGGGGGAGCGGCCCTCTCGCATCTCAGACGTGCAGAAAGGCTGCTGCGGCTGTGTCGCGTGAGATGAGCTGGCCCTGCCGCCCACGGCCTCGCATCGGTAACTCTGAGGGGAAGCCTGGTGACAGGGGAAACCTGGTGACGTATTGGGCCTCTCGCAGTTAGCGCGGGGCGGGGCGGAGCAGGACATGGGTTTGACCTTGCCCTGTGGCCAGTGGTCACTCACAGTGCCATCAGGGAGAGCCAAAGAGTGTGTCGCCTCATGACAACTTGCTTGCTTACGTTTCCACTCAGGAGTCTGTTTTGACTCTGGTCATTTGTACCTGTGGCCCTCGGTGCTCACCACTGTGACTTGGCTGTTGCCTTAGTCACTCTTCCATTGCTGGGAAGAGACACCATGGCCGCAGAGACTCTCTTAGAGGAAAGCATTTAATAGGGCCTTGCTTACAGTTGAGAGGGTTAGTCCATTATCATGGTGGGAAGCATGGAGGTCCGTTTTCATTCAGACCACCACAGCTGGTAAAAACAACGACCACTTCAGAGCCCACCTCGCGCTCAGCAGGTCAAGTATCTGTTTTCTACACTTCCTGTCACCTCCTTGTTATTGTCTTATACTAAGGGTGTCACCTGGGCACAGAGATGGCTCCATGGGCCTTAAGTTTGCCCTGCAAGCTTGAGGATCTGAGCTTGATCCCCAGAACCCATAAAAGCCAGGCAAGGGGATGCTCACTTAAAATCCTAGTCCTGGGGATACAGAAAGGTCAGCCAGTGTAATCTAATTGGAGAATTCCAGGGCAAAGAGAGACCTTGTCTCAAAAAGCAAGGTACAGGGATGACATTCAGAGTTTATCACACAGGTGTGTGCACACACACACACAGAGACAGAGAGACACACAGAGAAAAAGACGCATAGACAGAGAGACGCAGAGAAAGACACACTCACACATGGAGATAATATGAATGAATATAAGGACACTACCCTGTAAGAAGAGCCAACCCTTGGCACAGGCAGTTAAGACTCCTGCAAACAAGAATGGCAATGTTTGGACATGGAGTTCCCTCCACACCTCGAACTTCCGCTCCTTTCTGAGGGAAAGGATGTGTCTGAGGGTACTATCCAGGGCAGATTTTGAAGGGATTTGCTCTTTGTACTCGGTTACTGCCCTGAGTTGAAGAGAAGTAGGAGCATAACTGAGCTCACAAGGCAGCTGGGCTGTCTCAGGCTAGCTACAGGAGAGGCTTCGATTACAGGCAGCAGGGAAACAACTTGAGGAAAAGAGAAAATTGGGGGTGTTGGGCAAACAACCTGCACAGTTACCATGGTGACTGTAACATAGGTTTACCCCTTGGCTCTTCATTGGTATTTCTCTAAGGTGCTTTTCTAAGCTAACTAAACTTATTGACAAGTTCATACGAGGTACACAGTGCATTCTGGGACTGTGGTGTTGGGGCAGTGGCTGATGATACCCATTGAAAGATGAACCTGTGGGCGGTCGTTTTTTAGAGAGGGAGGAGTTAGAGAGACAGACACAGCGGAACTGGACCAGTTGGCTTCAGATCTCGGCGCCTGAGGACCGGAGTCTCTCCTGTGTGCTTCTTCACCCCTCCTATACAGCAGGCGGCAAACCACAGCCGTCCTGCGCCCTCCGAAGATAAATGCAAGAGTTGCCAGAGGTACAACCTCCGGAAAACGAGTGGGGAAAAGTTGCACTGCCCTCCCAGGAGGACTGTTTGGTGCTGAGTTAGTTCATATTTCAGTCTCTGCCATTGTGAAAATATCCTAATGTGGGAAATTTCCTCCTCAGAAATAATCCTGGGGGCCGGGAGGCAAATCCAACTGAACATCCCCCCCCCGGAGAACAGGATTGAGATGGCTGAAGCCAAGTGAGATGGGAAGGAGCGAGAGGGAGCTGCCCAGGGAGGGCCAGCTGCAGGGTATCGGGCAGCGGGGACCTCCTGGGCCTTGGGTAGTGTAGTTCCCACGGAGCAGTGTGCAACAGGGCCGAGTCAGGCAGCGAGTGGATAGTGTTCCCCACTATCTGAAACCGCAGATGCCGTTAGTAAAGGAGCCAGGGAGAAACATTTTTCCCCCACATTGGGCCTGCTGAACCCCAGGAGGAAAGAAAGTACTTGATAATGCTCTTCCATTGGAAGGGCAGTGTCAGGATCTCGGTCGCCTCTGTAATCTTCCCGAAAGATCACCACCCTCTGGAGGATTAGTGTAGGAAGCCTAGCCAGGGGCAGAGTTGATTAGAATCCTGCCTTTTCTGTCACTTAACATCCAGCAAACAGAACTAATCCCTCAGACACCAAACTCCCTCAAATTAAAAGTATGTGGGATTAATCGAAAGAGATTTGCTGTCCCTGAAAGTTAAAAGAAAATCTATACCATTGAGCTCGTTCACTGTTACTTTGATCACAGCAGAAATCTGAAGTTTTGATCATTTCCTTATTAACCATCAGATGCATTGTGTGAGGAAGGAGGCTGGAGAGAGGCTCAGCGGGCAAAGCACTTGCTCCCCAAGAGTGAGGACCTCAGTTCGATCTCCAGAGCCCATGTAAAAACCGGGGTGTGGTGTGATGAACCCAGCACGGGAGACGCTGGCACACGTGGGTCCCTGGGGCTCACTGGCCAAGCAGAACGGCGTGCTGGGGAAACTGCAGGGCAGTGAGAGGCTCTGTCTCAGCACACAGGATGGCTCCACAGGTCATGTTCCCAGCAGGGTCCACCTGTGTTGAGGGGCAACAAATGAGATTGGACTGTAGCGTCTACATGCACATGCATGCTCGGACACACAAATACCCACGTACCCACTAACACACACTCTGTCTCTCTCACCACACAAGGAGTAGGGGGTGGGATCAAAGGAAGCTTCCTTCTGCCGCTACCACCCCCAAAGGGAGAAGATGAAAGTTGCTGGAGAATGTGCTAGACGTGGAAACAAAATGGGTGGGACCAACCTGGGAGCATGTTTATTCAACAGGGCTGTAGGCACCTACAGGGCCGGGAGCTAAGAGCTTTGACTGTGTCACCGCGACACCCTGTATGGTGGTTTAAATAAGAGTCCATGCTGCTTGCTCTGTCTCCTGGTGACCCCACTGTTCTCTCAGAGCGCTCTCTGTCCAGAAGTTCCTGCTGTACCTCCTGCCTAGCTATTGACCATTTAACTTTTTATTAAACCAATCAGAGTGACACATCTTCATAGTGTGCAAAAAGATTATTTCACAATATCCCTCTATTCCAACTTTCACAAAGGTGTTTCCTAAGAGTAATGGGCAGTTGTTATCGCTGGCCTGGTCCCCTAGGGTGCTTACTGGTGTTTGCAGTCTTTTCAGTGACATGTGTTTCTTGACATCAGTAATACATAAAAACCCTCACGCAGAAAAAAATACACACACACACACACAAAGTTTTTGCTTAGAGATCAGCTTTGGAATAGAAGCAGCAATCACATCCCTGTGAAAATTACCGAATGTGTACCTTCATCACCAGGGGTAAGAAAACCAAAGGGTTACTGTTCTTGACACATTCTTATGCCGTCACCAAAGAAATAGAATTTAGAAAACGTTTTTGTATTTAGCCACAGTAAACACTGTTCAGTTTATTTCAGACAGTTCTTGGCAGTTAATTTCACTCAACAAACCCACTCTTTGTAAAGAGGCAGGTGACATCAGTGCGCTAACACTGAGAATAAAAATATATTAAAGAATAGTTCATTTTTAAGCATCTTTAAGAATAGCTCTCATGCCTGTAATCCTAGAACTTGGGAAGTGAAGGCAGGAAGATAGTGAGTTCAAGGACAGCCTAAGCAATATAGAGAGAGCTTGACTTTAAAAGGAAAGAAGAGAGGAAGGAGGGGTGGGAGGGAGGGAGGATGGATGAAAAGAAATAACTTTTTACACATAATTACTGAACATGCCACTCCACTCCCCCCAAAGTATTCATTTTATTTAGTCTTTCAGTTAGTCTCACAGACATGTCTCCTTGATGGAGTCTATAATTTAGACATTTCAGACTGACCATTCTGTCTCTGCTCAGTGTCGTGTTGAAACCTTACAGTGTTGTCTGTCCCTCCTACAGGATACCTTAGATGGTTTCTGGCCACTCAGTGATAGGAAGATTTGGAAGTCAAGTGAGCTTCTGCTGTTGATTTGAATATGCTCTGCCTTGGTGACAGACATGGTCCCATGACACCGTGACATGGCAGGCTGCATGGGCTCCAAACAGCAGTTTGCTTCTTAGGCAAACTGTGGGTGTTTATGATCATCTTTCATTCACTGCTGCTGAGAGTCTGGCACGCATTTGTTTAGCATATGGTAGTTGAGGACCAGGTTCTGGGCATTTCTGGGTAAACCACACAGCCCCTGTCCTCATGGAACATGCAGAATAGCTGCTGAAATGGGAAGGAAATGCACATACAGTTAGACATAACAGCAGATCGTGTCACAGACTAGTCTAGGGAAGGAACAGGAGACGCAGGCCATAACGTGTGGCTGGAATGGCTTGCCATGGAGATAATTTATAATCAGAGGTCTAGGTAAATCCTGGAGGCCCTGGGCTTTTAGAATAAATGTTTGGAGCAGATACAAGCTCCCTTCCAACCTGCAGGAAGGAAGAGAAACAGCAGGGATGTTCCCGCTGTGAGCATTACCTGTGCCTCCACAAGATTCACAGTGGCCTGACAAGTACGGCCACCGGAGTCCCATAAGCAGGTTGAGTGCAGCTGGGAGGGGGGAGGAGTTGGGCTCACACTTCTCTAGATTAGAGGGATCTGGGTTCAGCTGAGACCTTGCCAAGATCCAGCTGTCCTCCCCTGATGGCCCATCTAAATTCTCCCTCTCCCCCCCCTCCCTCTCTCTCCCTCTCCCTCTCTCTCCCTCTCTCTCTCTCCCCCTTCCTCCCTCCCTCCCTCTCTCATTTTCCTCCTTTAAAATGATATAATTCCCTAGGTCCGTTTGGATTCAAACTCCTGAAACGATGGACGGCCCCATGAGATTAAAGCTCATTGCCGAGTCCAGTCTGCAAGGGCTCCTATCCCACCTCGGCCCCCTGCTCACTGTGTGGCTTCTCACTAGTGTGTGAGTTCACTTCCTAAGCAGCGAGGTTGGGCGTTTAATGCTCACTGTATACTA